ATGTACTACTGCTACACAAACGCAAAGATGCATTTCATAAGCACAATGTTGAGCAAAAGAAGTCTTACCCCAAAGAGCATTTTCAATCCAAACCCACTGCCATTGAGTCAATTTTGACGTGTAGCAATCCTGTATAAGGTTTCTGAGACTACAGATCTTTGCAAGGAACAGACAGCCTCATCTTTCACCCATGGAGTGGCTGGTGGATTTGAAATGCTGATCATGAAGTCACTACCTCACCCACAGCCCAGTGTCTCACCCACAGCACTGCCAGAGCTCCTTAAAGAGCATCTGTGAGGTTCAAGAACTGGCAAAATGACTCTGTGGTAGTAGACATTGGCATAGCCTTTTGGCAGAGGTGGGGTTTTCATTGATTGGAAAGAAGCTCAAGACAGCCTTCTAGCGTACTGGAAATAAATCTATACAAAGAGGCTTCGGAGTCATGGATGACAGCGAATGCCCAAAATCTACTTGCAGAATCCCTATATGGATTAAGCCTCTGCTGAATTCCCTCTTTCCATACGCGGGGGATGTGAACAGTCTTGTCCTCTGAGTAGATTGAAAACCGGATTATTTCTAGTCTCCTGATCCAACCCATCCCCCCAAAAAACAAACTCATTGCCATAAGTTGATGCCAACTCAGTGTCCCTATAGGAGAGGGTAGACTGCCCCTGTGGGTTTATGAGACTGAAACTGTTTATGTCTTTCTCCTGATGAGGGGCTGGTGGTTTTGAACTGTTGGCCTTGCAGCTAGCAGCCCAATGAGTAACCACTATGCCACCAGGCCTGGGAGGGGCAATATCCCTCAGGTGGTTCCTGGGTGCCCCCTTGATATGCATCACCATACTGGGGTCACATGGCCATGAGCCATGCCCTGCCTGTCTCAGGGAATGCCCGGGGCCTTTCTCTTACATAATACACTTGCCCCAGTTATGGCCCCAATCCTGCTCCGGTAATCCCATTAGTAACTTTATTGATCTGCCAATAATGTTCACATGACTGTCTTCTTTGACCCCCTCTCATGTCCTTTGTAATGCTGTGTATCCCAGCAAACCCCTGGACACCATGGTGACCTTATGCCAATGGTCTCCCTTATCCAGGTGATATATCTCTGTAGTTGTCTTGTCTGTGTCCTATTTAAGACTTAATAACTATTCTCTTTATTAAAAATACTTCTATAAACCTAGATGGAGACTATGTCCAGAAATAATAGCTTTACATTGTATTATTTTTGTTGAATACATTTAGGTTTCTGTGATTTTTAAGCTCCTCACCTATCCCCCCACCCCACCCCCCAAAAAAAGGCTTCAAATTTTTCATGGACAAATGGAATTAAAGACAGTTTAATTTTTTCCACAAACTTTTTGAAGCTTCCCTTCCTATCTTCATTTGGATGGTGATGACACAGGTGTAGGCATATGAACAAAATAAGCTGTGCGCTTAGAGGTTGTCCACTGTATATCATACCTGAAAAACAAGACAAAAAATAGTCACTAGACCAGCTGTTCATTCAGAGAAGCAAATGTTTGAGAAATGTAAGGTAGGGGCTTGCCTGTCAGGCAACTAGCAGACACTTTGAGAGGAAAGCGGTGTTTGAGGGAGCTGGGTCTTGGGAGGTGTGCCTGTTGGACTGCTGAGGACCTGTCGAGCGGTCAGGAAGCCCAGACTGTTGAACACGGAGTGAGCCCTGGCTTGGGCGGTTGGGCTGCAATATGCAGGGCCAGCCATTCCGAAGCACCAGGCAGCACCGGGGGAGGCTGGGCTTTCTCCTCCAGAGTTTACAGCCTCAGAAGCCCACGGGGAGCCGGCTATGGGTCGAGTTTGACCCGATGGCAGCAAGTTTGGGTTTGGACACTGAGCCGGAGAAAAACTGGCAGGCAAACTGGATAAGGGCAGCAAAGGTGACCGAGCTTGCACCTGGGTGGCTGGGAAGAGCCAGGAAGAGGAATGTGTTTGGGAAGTGAGGAGGTGAGCACTCCTTGAGGTTGTTTGTCATGTTGAAGTGCTCACACATCCCCGTGAGACGGTTTGGGGCTCACAGCAGCCGAGCTAGCAACAGAATGTGCAAATCCTCCACTATTTTGAGTTGTGAGATTCCCTACCAGAAAGCATGTGACCAAGAAACGGAAGAATGGCAGCGTTAGGGGGAAAGGAGATGGGAGCTGTGCTTAGAACCAGGGCAGAGTGTTTTCAGTAAGCTGAAGGAAGAGAGGGTTGGAGATGACGGAGAAGCCGATAAGGGAAGAGTGAGCATGCGACGAGGGGAAACCGAGGGGCCTGGTCTTTGCTAGGGAGGAGGAAACAAGACCTGGAAAGCAAAGGTAGAGGTGGAGGGCTTTAGCCTGGGGCTGGCTTACCTGTGAAGAGCCCAGGTGCAAGCCATTAGAGCACAAGACTGTCCGCATCTTCTGCGACTGACTCTTGCCGTATCCTTTGTCCTCCAAGCAGGAACAAAGGGTGACCCAGCATTGGGAATGAATACAGATGTGGGACCCAAGGAGTCCCAGGTATCCCGACTCATTCTGGGTTCTAGAAATAATCTATTTTGTATGAAAGAAATATAAAAGTTTTAGACCCCATCCATGCCCCCATGGGAAAAAGGGAGGCAAGATATTCACACATTGTATCATTTGGCAATGATTACGTCCCAAACAAATGCTATGGGGTGTTTTGAACCCCAACTCTGTCAGTTTGGGCAAGCTGTTACTAGTTGTGTGCCCCTCAGTTTCCTCCTCTGTGTGTGGTTCTGAATTAGAACAAAGCCAGAAGCCAGTGTGGTGAATGTGAGTTAAGATCACGAGGAGCCATGGGAGTTCAGAAAGGGGAAGCTGCTGCAAAGCCTGGAGTTGCTGGGAGCTTTGTGGAGGAGTTAGGATTGGTTGGGGGTGGGTGGGAGGGGGGCAGGCCATTTAGGGATAGATAGAAGGAAAGAAATCAATGAGAGAAAAGATATTAAAGCTAGAGAAAACATGATGAACAAAGACATGGTTTCAGTAAAGCTCTGGCATTTCCATTTGATTTGCTTTGGTCCAGCTATTCCGCTTGGGGAGTAGCAGGGGCAGGGGAGGAGAGGCAGGTGAGTAACTGATGGTTGTTGAAAACAAGTACGAGTTGGGGAGTCGGCTCTTCAGTTTGGCAAGCGTCTGTGAGTTGGGCAAGTTTTCAGTCTTGTAAAAAAACAAAAAAATATTGCTGGCAAGTCCAGTTGAACTCCGAGGGCGGAGCAGCACTGCCCAGCAGGGTTTCCAAGGCTGTGTCAATGGAAGCAGACCGCCACACCTTTCTCCCGCTGAGCAACTCGTGGGTTCAAACCACTCATCTTTGGTTTAGCAATGGAGCACTTTGACCCACTGGGCCATGAGGGCTTTTGTCCCTCAGCTGTAAAATAGGCTAGATAAAATCGCTTGCATCTCTAAAAGTCTATACTTGGTGCATGAGAATGATTTTTAGACACCCCCCCCCCCCCCCCCCCCGCACCGCTCCCGCGTCAATAGAACAGAGGTTCGTGTGTGTGCAGTTTGAAGCTAATGGTCTCTATGCTGTGGTTCTGGCCTCCTGCTGCAGGCAGGTCTGTGAGCGGACCAGCCTGCATGTAGACCCATGCTCTTCGTGGCCCTAAGCCTAGATCGCTATCACTAAAGAAAGCTGGGGTCTCATCCGGTGGAATTACGTGAGTTACCCCAAGTTATTTAGCACTCCTTCCACTCCTGTTCTTGAGGAACCCCAGGTTTTGTGGCTGTAAGCCTGATGGTGGACCCTGGGGCCTAAGTAGAAGAGAAAGAACCATCTTTAGTCTTAAAAAAAAAATCCTCGATTGTCTTTGTAGAATAGGTGACGGATCTCTTTATTTCTATCCATTAATCATATTTTCCAGTTATGTTTCACCAAAGAACCCCCTCTCGTTCCTCCCACGGGGGAAAAGTTCCAATAAAACCGAGGGGGTCAGAGCACCACAGGCTGTGGTGAACTGCCAGGGAAGCCCTTCCTCCCGGCTCTCAGAGGAAGACACGCGGGCTTGGGTCCTTTGGCAGCAGTGACCAGACGCGGGGGCTTTTGACTTCAGGGGTTCCTCCGTTTGAAAGTGTGTATCTCCGGCGTATCTCCATGGCCATCCTGATACCGCACTTAGAAGCTGTGGACTCTCGCGTGGTGGTTCTTGGCTTTTTCTCTCTGGAAGGGAATTTGGGCTCTTTCCTGAGCTCTCCTTTCTCCGGCCTTCCCACTTGGTGTCACCTCCCTGCTGCGGCGTGCTCCAGGATGCCAGCACTCCGTTCGCTTTTGCCGGGCGCCAAGTGGTAGGCACTGAGACCGCGGTCTGCCCTCTACACAGTGGGGAAGTACCCTGTGTTTGTCCCTGGAAAAGGCTGGGCTTGTCGAAAGAGCCTCCTGAGCATTGAGCATTTACTCTTGACAGATTTTACACAATGTAGGGAATTGAGAAATAACTAGAAACAGGAGCGCCGAAGCAGACGGGACCGACTTTTATCTGCCTTTGTGCCTCCAGATTTCGGAAGGGTCTGTTCTGTTTTTAAAAACTGAACTTTGAGAAGGGTCACGTGACCCCGTGCCACCCTCGGGAGGAAGAGGGTCCCTTTGGGGAGTGGCATTGCAGGAGAAGGGGGCTTGAGCACAGCTTGGCCTTCAGGAGAGTTTAGAGTAGGCGCTCCTGGAGGAGACGGCACACGTCTCTGGTGTGTCTGCTTCCCAGCAGTGAGTTGTATCTAAGGAAGCGAGAAGTACCCACCATCCAGGAGACCCCACCCTTTGGTCTCACTCACTTCACCCCCTCCGTGGGGTGCGGGGGCCACAAACATCACCCGGTCCGTCAGTGGCACTGATTTTCTGAAGGGATAAAGCACCAGGGTGTGGAAGAAGCCGGCTTCCTGTGCTGCCGGGGCTGTGGATAAAGGTGGGGAGTGCTGTGGCTTGGCCTGGTCCCTTTTCCACGCGGTGATGGGTTAATGCTGTCCGTGTTGCTGTTTCTTCCAGAGCTGACCTGTCCTGGACGCAGCATAACTAACGAAGCTGCTGCAGGATGAGAAGATGGCAGCACGGCTGCTCGCACCACCAGGCCCTGATAGTTTCAAGCCTTTCACCCCCGAGTCGCTGGCAAACATCGAGAGGCGCATCGCCGAGAGCAAGCTCAAGAAACCACCGAAGGCCGATGGCAGCCACCGGGAAGATGACGAGGACAACAAGCCCAAGCCCAACAGTGACCTGGAAGCAGGGAAGAGTTTGCCTTTCATCTACGGGGACATCCCCCAAGGCCTGGTTGCCGTTCCCCTGGAGGACTTTGACCCATACTATTTGACGCAGAAAGTGAGTTGGAAGAGGAGAAGCCGCTTCAGAAAACCTCTCTCCTAACAGGCTCGGGGAAATGGGGAAGTACCCCGTGTTTCTTTGCCTAAGTTTGCATAAGGCCTTAAGCTTTCGTTTCAGCTCCGGTGTGGGGGGATTCTTTCTCCATTTAAACACGGCAGAGGGTCTCTTGTGGGTCTTGGCACATCTCAGCTCTGTTAATAAGATTTCCGCTGTTGGCTCCAGGCCAGGTCAGAAAGGGAGGCCATAAACGAAATGAGACCGTCTCATAGAGTCCAAGAAGGATGGCGTGGTCACATAGCCCTGTGAGATCTCTGACACCCCTCCCATCCCCGCACCCAGTCTGTCTGTGACTATAAAGATGATGTTCCTATGGCAACATCGTCAGAGCCCGGTACTGTAGATGAGTGGGGGGTTTGCACTCATCTCCGGTTGGTTCCCTTTGTGGCGTTAGGGTGTAGCCGCTGGGGAGAGGAATCTGATCCAGGAAACCATACTGGGGCAGTGAGGACAGACTCCTGGTCCGTGGCCGTATTGCCCACTTGTGTGGGTTGAGCCAGCACTGGCTCTCACCCCAGAACCAGTTCTGTTACGCTTGCAAGTAGAGAGCATGAGGGAAGGAACAGCCGCCCCACTGGGCCGAGGCGTTCATTTTGATGGCCCAACACAGATTGGACCGAAGCCCTGGGTGTTCTCCTCAGGATTGTCTCTTCATAACAAGGCAGCCCCGTCTCCCGGGTCCTCCGCCTGCTGAGTCATTAGCCCGGGAATATTATTAAAGATGGACACCAGACACCGCATTAGGGGGCTCCCTCAGTGAATAACGGTCATTTTAAGAATTACAGTGATAATGTTTCTCCAGATGCGGTGGGAGACGGCGTTGTGCATTTATATAGTTACAAACAGCAAGGCCCCCTTAACCAAGAGGCCTTTTATTTAGTCTTTCAATTTTGAGAGGGGGGTGGAATCAGCTTTTTGGGGGACTGTGGGGGACTTCATAATGGGTCAAAGTAAGCCCACAGCTCTCTTGCTGTGGCTGTCGTTAGTTGAGCAGAGCAGAAGCAGTGATGGTCCTCGCTGTGCAAAATGGCACGTTGCCCTGGGACTTCCGGTGCCGCTCAGAGCAGCGGGAGCAGTGGCTGCCACTGGAAAGCCAGTTAGATTACAAAATGCATTGTTTTGTAATAAAGAACAGTGGCTGGACCTGCAGAATCCTGATTCTGCCACAGTCCACACTGTTTATTATTGATTTGTTTATTATATTTGTGTTCAAACGATCTCTAATTACTAGTGGGGAAAGACAACCATGGATGAAAGGGGTGGGAGGAATGTTCAAAATTAGTTCATGACCTTTGGGAAGTCCCTTCATCTCTCTGGGCCTAAGTTTCCTCATCTAGACACTGGGCGGTTGGATAGGTGTGTTAGTCTAGGTACTTTGGAGAAACAAATCCACAGCAACTCATGTATAAAAGAGAGTTTTATGTAAAGAAAATGTGCATCATGAAAACATGCCAACCCAATGCTGCCCAAACCCACAAGTCCAACATTAACCCATTAACCCAACACCAGTCCACAAAGTCCTCCACCTCACAAAACAGAGGCAATGGTGCCGACTGCAGGAGGAAAGCTGAGTCAGTGAACGAACAAGCATCTCAGCACTAGCAGGGGTCTCCACACGGCTGCTCCAGCACCCAGGGCTGCTTCGGGATAGGTCCATGTGGCTTCTTCTTGGGGATGTCTTGTAGGAAGTCAATCTTGCAAGCTGAAGCAGGGAACTGCTAAGGCAGCTGCACCCTGGTGCAACCATCACAAAACAAGAGACCCGAGAACTAGAAAGGCGAGGCTTCACCACCCATTTATCCCTCCGCCTTTCAATTAGCCCCACATGTGATTATCAGCCAGGCTGGCACAATTAACTAACTCAATAGGCTTTCTAAGGACTTTATCATACAGAAAGTCTGCAGCTGAGTACTATTCATAAACTGCCATTGATACCCTTATTCACTCTTCCTTCCTAAAGCCTGTGGGATTTTCCACTGGCCTTTGCTAAGTCAGGGTGGTGGGTGAGGGAGGAGGTGAGGTTTAACTTTCTGGGTTAGTGACCAGGAGAACCTGGAATAGTGGGCCGTTTTTAGAAAAGGATCTCATTCATTGCTAGTTTTTGAAATATCCTCAGATGTATTTCCTTCCTCTCCCCTGCCCTTGTATCCATGATCTTACTAGAAGTCAAAAGAAATGATGAATTGCAGGGTTTAGGCCGTACCTATTGAGAGAAGTTTGCCAATAAGTTTTGCCAATTGGGGTAACTTTCCCACAAAGAACTTTCATAGCAGCAGCAGATACATAAACCCCTTTGGGTCGGCTGAATCCTCTGTGTTTGTTTCTACTATTTCTTTTTCCAACCCCAGTGCAGACTGAGTTTCAGTTTTTAAGACTTGGCAATCTGAAAAGTAGAGACCATCGCTGTTGGAGCCCCACTTCCTGCAGGGGCCATTTGCGCTGGTTCCTGACCGTAGGTAGCCTCAGCGGGTGGCGGCCTGGTGTGGATGTGAACTTGCAAGGTGGGTGGGTCTTCGAGGGTCTCGGTGTGACTCATTGGAAGGGCCGACCGCCTGCTGCTGACGGACCTCCAGCCTGAGATTGGCTTTTCATGACAGGAAGATCGACTTCAGCCTGAGACTTCCCCACCGGCATAGATGTGCCCTGGGAAGGGTGAGCTTCACGGTATTTCTGTTTTCATAATTTCTTTTAATCGTGAAATATCCGACCTTGCAGACTATACATGATCATTACAAAGCAGTCAAGCTACCACCTCTGTGAAGGGAAAACGTGGTGATCACTTCAGATGGGTTTCTTGTCCTTTTTAAAATAAGTTACGTTTTTAAGGTGATTAAATATAATATGCTTGCTAACGTTATGTGGACATCTTTGCTGGAATTACAAATACCTACTACTAAATAGGCCTTTGTAGGAACCTTGGTGGTGTAGTGGTTACGCATTGGGCTGTGAGCCACATGGCCGGCAGTTCAAGACCCCCAGCACTTCCAAGGGAGAAAGACTGGGCTTTCTACTCCCATGCACAGTTACAGTCTCAGAAACCGCCAGAGGCCGCTATGAGTCAGCACTGACTAGATGGCAGTGGGTTTGGTTTTTGGAGTAAGTAGGCCTCTGTGAGACTAAATTAGCAAGGCCCCACCTGTAAGGAAGCATACTAAGAATTAACCCACAAATCACAACATCAGAAGGGGAGGGATGCCTTTAAGAGGACGTCGCTTTGGGTTTGGGCTTAAGGGCTGTGTTTCCTCGGCAAACTAGGATCTCTTTGTTGCTAAAGGACACAGATTCCTAGATTCCGGGATTTTTGTTTTGTTGTGTTTTTTTCTCTCTCCCCAGTAGGTTTTATTTTATAAGTGATGAATCATCGTTGTTAACCCTTGTACCAACGTGTTTCTCATTTCTGCCCCTCTTTGTTTTAGGGGAGAGAGAACGAGTTCCCGATTAGTAAGGTTTTGTCCCAGTGTGGCTTTCAGAATCTCTAGGTGCCCAAGGCCTGGAAGCTGTGCCCCACGCTGCCCGGGGTGCCGGTGTCCCTGGGAGCTGGCAGGAGCTGCTCGATGTCCCCACAGTGTTGCCTGAGTTGTGTTCCACACTGCCTTTGTCCAGCTGGTCCCGCACACACCCTGGGTCACCCTCTCTCCGTTGCTGGTGGGCCTCCCACTGCTACAGCTTTAAATGTTCTTTAGCTCTTGATACTTTGCTCCAAAATCTACGTTTTTCTATCTTTCTTTCTTTTTGGGGGGTGGGGTGGGGTGCTGTACTTCTCGACTGTTTTGAGTAAATCATGATTTTTAAAGAAGGCTTAAATCTTTTTTCATTTAATTTCAAAAATAGGTAAGACAATGGTGTAGTCAAAAACTCGAAAGATAGGCAGTAAATAGTAGGCTCCCGTTTACCCACTAGCAGTAACCAAGAGACAGCCCGCCCTTGACTGAGACGATTTCCATCACAAGCTCTTTTAAGCAGCTACTAGCAACACCTGAGGAGCCCTGGGGATGGAGTGGTTACACACTGGGCTGATAACTGCAAGGTCAACAGTTCAAAACCACCAGCTGCTCAGAGAGAAACAATGGGGTTTTCTATTCCCGTAAAGAGTTACAGAACCAGAGACCCACATAGCCAGTTCCACTCTGCCCTATAAGGTCGCTATGGGTTGGCATCAATTCGAAGGCAGTGAATTTTTGAGTTGTGAACCACACCTGAGCTCACTGAAATAGCCCAAGTGGTTCACACCTGTTGCCCAAGGGTCACGTGAACTAGCAAAAACAAGTATGCATATTAAGGAGGCACCAGGGCTCCTTACCTTATTATAAGATAGTCCTGTAAACAAGCTTTTTAAAGTACAGTATTGATTGATTGATGTGGGGATATATATATGTGTGTGTGTGTGTGTATATGTATGTATGTATGTATGTATATATATATATATGTATATGTATATATATATATGCCCCAAATTCTATTTTGTCTTTTCATGTATACTGTTTCCTGCAAAGTGAGGATCTTAGAATCATAGATATTAGAATGTGGGGGTTTAAGACATCATCTAGCCCAGTCTCCTCACTTTACACATTTAGTAGGTGAGGTTTAGTATTTTGTTAGAAGCCAACACCCCGTTATTCGCCCGTGCCATCCAGTTCTCGGTGGCTAACCACACTTGTCTACAGCCATGCAATTGCACATGTGCTCTTGAGGCACTTGACTGCTCCCTGGATGTTACTTTGTAAAGAAGCTTCTCGCCTCCGCCTACACTCCAGCCTCGACCTGCCAGCACAACGGCATATGCACCTGCCTGGTCTAGTTCTAGCTGTAACCGCGCTGGGCTTCCATGTACTTATCCGTAATATATGCCAGCTAGGGGTGTGTGTGGTGTGGTGTGGTGTGGTGTGTGTGTGTGAGATGTACTGTGGGATCTATATAATATATGCTTTTGCTTGTCTGTC